GTGCGTGTGTGTGTGTGTGTGTGTGTGTGTGTGTGTGTGTGTGTTAGGCAAGGTCTCACCGTGTTGCCCAGACAGGGCTGAAGTGACTCTCCTGCTGCATCCTCCCAAGAAGCTGGGCCCACAGGCTCCACACCGTCCTCACACTTATCTTCAGGGCAGCAGTAAGGACTCAGGCCTGAGTCCGGTGGGGAGCCTGCTTTAAGCAGGTAGTGGCTGGGTCTTACTTTTGGGAACAGCCATTAACCAAGAGTGTATAGGGTCCACTGCAGGAGCTGATCTCAGTCATTACTAGGTGGTCAACTTGCAGAGCAAGAAGGGTGGGACATTGCTAGGCAGTTCTAGATCAGACTGTGTGATTTAGAGGGAGCGACTGAACCTCTTGAGATTCTTACCCCTAAACTTCATATGAATTTACGCTCACGATCAAAGACATGCAAATGCACAGTACAGAGAAATGCGGAAACAAATCAGTTTTCTTCTGTACCTTGAACAAAGCCGAGCAGCCTTTATTCTTCCACAGTAGCTCTGTAAACTATTATTGTCCTCACCTTATAACCGGACTCAGCCACCCGCTGTTCGCGCCTGCGCGGTGGGTACCGCGCGTGCAGAGCCCAACGCAGCAGACGCTGGGGAGTTGCCTGGCAACCAGGTTGCCGCGGACAGCCACCAGCCGGCTGGCTCCTGGCTCTGGAGACCACTGCGTTGAGGTAGGTGAGGTGAAGGCCGCGGGTGAGGGGCCTGGGGACAGTGGTGCGCCCTGACCTACCCGGTCTCGCTCACACGGGTCCATGTCCTCATACCCCAACTCACACATTTTCTTCCGTGGCTGTACTCCCCGCCTCACCTGCCCTTCAGAGGAGGGCAGGACCCTGTTACTGTGCCTGTGATTCTCTGTGAGGGAAGCCAGTTTAGATAGGGCCGAGTCTTTCCCAGCCTAGCCTTTCTCCTCTCCTTGTTGTCTGGGGGCCCGTTTCAGAATCTGGCTCACCTGTTACTGGGGAGCGGGAGTGTTTCTGCAGTGTGTCCAGTCCATGTGACTAAATGCAGTGACAATCATCACAGTAACTCCAGCCAATCAACCTGTCTGGGGCTCTGGTGAGCCAGGTATCAGTTAATATCACTAGACTGGAAGGGCGGGAAGGCAGTACCGTTATTACCTCCTTTTGCAGCTGCAGAAAGACACAGATGGAGGAAGTGACCTGTTAGGGGCCACCCATGTCCCAGATCTGCAGCCAGTTTTTAACCAGTAGGCCTGCCTGCCTATAGTTACTTAAAGTGTGAATGTGGAACAAAAACAGGTCATCTTTTAACCTTAATTCCTTTTTTTTTGTACCAGGGATCGAACTTGGGACCTTGAGCTTGTGAGGGAGGCGCCAGAACCACTAAACTAAATCCCCAGCCCCTTTAATTCCTTTTTGATGATGTGTCCTAAGCATCTGAATATGGGTCCTTAACAGGTGAATGAGCCAGATCCGGATTTAACAATGGCTTCTAGTCTTACCAAATTGGTGACATCCAGCAATCTCCTTGGTCCTAAGCTCAACTTCCTTCTTTGTAAATTATGGATAATGCAAGTCCTGTCCTTATAGCGTAGGCGTTTAGTTTAGTTAGTTCCTAGAGTTAAACTCAAGGCCTTTACACTGAGTTACATCCCCAGCCCTTTTTATTTTATTTTTAGATTTTGAGACAGGCTATAACTAAGTCACTAAATTGCCCAGGCTGTGCTCAAACTTGCAGTCATCCTGCCTCAGCTTCCTAGAGGGTTGAGATTACCGGCATGTGTCACCAGGTCTGGATTGTGGTAGGTAAATTAGGTACTAGCTCTTGCTGGTACCAGATAGTCACCAAGTGAAGAGATCATTTTGGTATTTGCTTGTTTGATCTCTTTTGCCTTTTTGGTGCTAGTGACTGAGGCCCCCGCCTGTACAGTACTAACGTGGTTTCTTCTCTTATTAATAACTGTTGCATGGGAGAGCTCTGAGCTTGGAATTTGGGCTGTTACATAACTTTCGGTGTGACCTTGAACAAATCTCTTCATTCTTCTCAGCCTCATTTCAACTGTGAGATGGGCAGATAAAAAGTATCTTGAAAATTACAGTAGTAATAACAGCAGCGTTTTGGCTTCTTTTAATCAGTGATCGCTGCAGAGCTTCATTGTGACAGCCTTTTGTAGCGTGGAAAGATGGCTCATGCTCGTATCTCCATGTACCTGCCTCCGAACATCAATCCCACCCAAGCTGACATTGCCTATGGCTGTTGGGCCCTGCCCAATCTGCACAGAGAGCTGCAGTCAGAGGACCTGCAGACAAGGCAGAAAGCCCTCATGGCCCTGTGTGACCTCATGCATGACCCTGAGTATGTCTACGAGGCCATCAACATAGGTGAGAATACATGGCCCAGGCGACCATGACTGGGATCCTGGCATGGATTAGACTCTGGGTGGGGCTTCAGTAATAAATGTTGCTACTTAATGAGCATGACTTTGGCCAGCAGTACCCTAAGTTCAGTGTCTGCCTTGTCTTAGTCCTCGCAGTAGCCAACTGCAAAGGAGAGCAAATTCACAGCCTACAGATAAGAAAACCAACGTTCAGCCAAGCACTATGGTGGTACACACCTGTTAACCCACTTACTTGGGAGGCTGAGGGAGGAGGATTTCAAGTTCGAGGCCATCCTGAGCAACTTAGTGAGTCCCTGCCTCAAAATAAAAAATACAAAGGGCTGGGGTTATGGCTCCGTGGTAGATCACCCCTGCGTTCAATCTCCAGCACGAGGGTGAAAAAGATCTTATGAGAAGGAGTCTGAATTAAGCCTGCCTAATTGAGTTAAGCAGGATTTTTACTTGCTAAATCTGGCATCCTTCAGTTTAGCCCATTCAAGGTCATGCGACTAGTGTAGGACAGGGCTATAATTTGACCGCATGTCTCTCTTGGGATCAAAGAACTCTCAAGGACATTTTCTAATGCCTATAGCAGACACTAGTCGGAGGCATTCAAGATGTATAGAGAGGAGGATTAGATGAGTTGACCGTAGGGTTTGAGTCCCTTCAGTACCACTCAAATGCTGTGTAACTGACAGGATTCTCCGGCACTCCTAAGCAAGAGACCCCGTGGTACTCTCTTCTTGTCCAACATCAACTCACTCAGTATTGATTTCTAGGTTAGTTGATTTTCTGGGACTGGCAACTATTCAGAGGCTTTTCTATCTTGTAGGCTGCCTGGAGAGCCTGACAGCCTTGCTGAAGGACAGTGACTCCCTGGTTCGGATGAAGACCGCGGAGGTGCTCTACATCATGGCGACCCACGACGTGGGCAGGTGGGCGGCTGCCTCTGGAAGCGAGGTCACACTAGGAAGCTATACTCCTTTCCTGTGTGGATGTCCTGCAATGACCTTGAATGCTCTGAAATTTTGTCTGTAGCACTGGCCTTCAGTGGGACTTCTGTTTGGTCAGAACAAGGCTCTCTGGGGGGTGGTTTTGATCATCTCTGTGGGGAATCTCATGGAACCCTCTGTTCCAGACTAATTTTTATGTAAGCTTCTAGCTTCTGGGATTGCCAGTTTGAAGGCGAGGAAAAGTTCAGATCCCACATCTGCAACAATTTTGCTTTTTCTTAGTCTTTTAAGGGGAGCCAAGTTCTCTGTCTCAGATGCCCACAGGGCCTGTGGCTTTGGTTCCTGTCTTCATGAAGGTGTTAAAACACAAGCCTCAAAGTACACATCTGGTCTTGGCTGGTGGCCTCACCTTTTGCTCAGCATGGCGAAGTTGTATCGCTTTCCTATTAAATATCCCCTTCCTGTGTAAAGCTTTGCATTTTACCCTTACACTATATATCACCTAGCATTTTGGTTAGGGGCTAGGGATAGGCAGTGCCATATTAGCTGAAGTCACTCTTTTAACCTGGGATCACTAATTTCACTTTGTGTTAAAAGCAGAACCCCAAAGCACACCCTCCAAGCTCTTCCCCCATCTTCTGTATAACAGAGACCCCCTCCCCCAGTATGCAAGGACAATTTGAAGGGTGAGGTGCCAGGTGCCAGGTGCCTTCAGGCTTTTTGGATATAAACAAGAAGCACCCATTCAGAGAAGCTTTCAGTCAAGTCTCAGAGCACTGATGGTCCCCAGGTTCTCAGATACTTGGTGTCCTCCTTGGTACCTGCGTCAGCCTGCGCGCAGCCCTGGCCTAATCAGGTGCTGTGTGTGGGAGCGTGGGAGGAAGTGGACAGTTAGTGTGGCGGGCGGCAGTGCCACAGCTGGTGCTCTGATTCACAGCCTTTGCATGCCATAGAATCGGTCAGTGCTGTGCACTGAGGTGCAGAGGGGGGCTGTCCTTTCCTGCTCTGTGACCTGGATGAGACTCTGTTTTTTTTTTTCCCCTCAGTACTGGGCATTGAAATCAGGGTTGCTTTACTACTGAGCTCTATCCCCAGTCCTTTTTTAAAATTGTTGTTATTGTTATTTTTAAAATTAATTTTGAAGGAGGATCTCAGAAAATTATCCAGGTAGGACCCAGCTTGCAGTCCCTCTGAGATTATAGAGTGTGTGCCACTTTGCTCAGCTTCCTGGGTTGAAGCTCTTGATCCAAGTCTCATTTTGCCTATCTGAAATGACCTCACAAAGGTGCTTTAACACCTGGGGGGTAGGGGAGCCGAGGCAGGAGGATCCTAAGTTTGAACCTAGCCTGGGTGACTCAATGAGATCCTGTCTCAAAATAAGTCACAAAAAGGACTGAGGATATAGTCTAGTGCCAAGGCCTTGGATTCAATCCCCAGTAGTGAAAACCAAACCAAACCACACCAGACATTAAGGGGGCCAGGTGTGGTGGTACACTCTGTAGTCCCAGGTACTCCAGTGGCGGAGACAGGAGGGCTGTTTAAGTTCAAGACCAGCCTGGGCAGCAGAACAACATCCTATTTCGAACAAAACAAAACATCTGCAAACAAACAAACAAACAAACAGAAATCAACCTTAGGGCCAGATGTGGAGGCAAACACCTATAATCGCAGCACTGTGAGCAGCTGAGGCAGGACAATTGCAAGTTGGAGTCCAGCCTGATCAACTTAGTGAGACCCTGTCTCAAAATAAAAAAATAAAAATAAAAAGGGGCTGAGGACCTAGCTCAGTGCTAAGGCCCTGAGTTCAATCTCGAATACCACAAAACAGAAAATGAAAACAACCGAAAAAAACAAAGGTGCGCACAGGTGTCAAATACGCTCTTTTCTTCCTTTGCTTTCCCTTTCTGTCCTGGACCTGATGTGGACAGTTAGGTAAAAGCCTTCAGTGAGGGGTGGTAGATGCTGAGAGGAGATGGGTTTGAGCCCAAGCAATTAAAAAGGAGCAAAACGCCTAAGGGGGCGGGGGGTTGAGTGCAGATTCGTTCAGAAGCCCCAGGATAGGAGAGCCTGGGTGGGAAAGTCTAGGCTGTGCCCGCATCAGCAAGGTGGGAAGACAAGATAAAGAGTCTGTCCTTGGCTTGGGGTCTGTTAGAGCCAGGGCCACATGCTCACTCCATTCTTAGCCATTCCTCACACCAGGGCTGTGCAGCGAGGGGGAGAGGCACTGCTGTGTGCCCGGGGCCTAGGATTCCACAAGCCCAAATACGAATGTGGCCCGTTTCTAAACTTCCCCAGAATCGGCAGCGATCTTATAACCAAAGTCAATGGCTTTCAGAGCCCATGAAGCCCTAGGTAACTGCCCTGAATCAGCTGTGTTGAAACTTTTCCACCTTCTGACCACCACACAAATAGACGGGAAGGAAGAACGAGGGTGGCAGCTCAGGCTTGGCACCTCGAGGCTTAGTTAATTCCCATGGCATTCGCACACGCAGGAGCACTTCCTGGGTGGCTGGACCCTCCCATCTGGCTTGTTGTTGGTGAGGTGGCCACAGTACTCTACAGGCAAACACAAATGAGTGCTATTTATTTATTTATTAAAGCAAAACACTTATTAGCCAGGTGTGGTGCCGCCTGCCTGTAATCCCAGCACTCGGGAGGCTGAGGCAGGAGGATCGCTGTGAGTTCGAGACCAGCCTGGGCTACAAAGTGAGTTCCAGGTCAGTCTCAACTACATAGTGAGACCCTGTCTCAAAAAACAAAAACGAAACAGTTATTGGTACATTTTAGACATATGTAATGATAACATTCATCATAGGGAATCTGTACCTTTACATGGTATATCTTGGTTCTTCTTTTTGTCAGTCCCACTTCAACCCTTCTATCCCTCCTTACTTACAAAAGCTTTTCCTCCTATTCTTTTTTTGCTGTCTCTTCTTTTCTTTCCCCCTCCTCCTCCCTTGTTCCCCTTCTCATTTGAACATATTCTTCCTGTTTCCCAACATCTACTATACATTTTAGTCCTTATTTCCACTTTAGGTTTCTTACTCCAGGGAAACAATGTGGTATTTAAACATGTCCAATTTATTTCACTTGAGAGTATGGTCTCAAGGTGCATTCATGTAGATAGAAATGTCTTGAGCATATCCTTCTTTATGGCAGAGAAATATTCCACTGTATAAAAAAACCCCATATCTTCTTTATCCAGTCTTCAGTTGATGGGGATTTGGGCTGTTTCCAAGATTCAGCTATTATAAACTGTGCTGCTATAAACATGACTGTGGAATGACGCTTTTAATTCTATCCAGAAGATACCCAGAAAGGGAATAGCTAGGTCAAATAGAAACTCAAGTTTTAGTTTTTTGAGGAATTTCCACAGTGGTCACACCAGTCTACACTCCTACCAACAGTAGAGTAGGGTGAGTCAAATTCTTGCTCTGGAGCACAGGTTGGCCTTTAACTCACAGCCATCCTCCTGCCTCAGCCTTCTGAGTGCTGGGATTACAGGTGTGCACCACCACGCCCAGCTTTATTTCATTTGTTGATGCTGGGGATTGAACCCAGGGCCTCATGCATGTTAAACGTATGTTTCACTATTGCATTACACAGCACCCTTTCACCTTTTTGTTGTTGTTGTTGAAGGGACAGGGTCTTGTTATGCTGTCCTGGTTGGACCTAAACTCCCGAGCTCAAGGGATTTTCCAGCCTCAACCTCCTGAGTAACTGGGACTACAGGCGGCATCAAACAGTTTTCAAAGCCTGAGTGACGTAGAGCCGGTCATGGGCAGTGACTGTGGAAAACCCAGTGGTCAGGGAAGTTCCCTGCAACTTGTGTGTCCCACTGTGATTTTTCTCCTTCTAAAACAATTCAGAACATGGGTCGGGCAGGTCCTGCATGCTGGGCACTTAGTGGAGAGCTTCACGTATGACTTCTCATTTATTCCTGACCCTCGCCCTTAGGTGTGACCCCTTTAACCCTTTTTCCAGATGCAGTTGGGCCCAGAATTCAGTTGGTTACTTGAAAGAAATGGTTAAAAGGCAGAGAATCAAATGAATGATATATTTCCTTTAAATGGTTTATTTTAAACCCCAAACACAAATAAGGTGTACACCAATCCCAATGTGGGACTCGGGCCTTGTTTGGCCGTGGATCCACTGGATGGCATATCCTGCCTCCTTTTTCTTTTTTTAAATTCTATTACATATCTGATTTGCAGCTTTGGTTTCTTGAAAGCAGAGAAAGAGCTGAAAGACATTGATGAAGTAATCTGCATGCAGAAACCTTCTAGAAGCTTTTACAATCATCTTACATTTTTTTAAGAGACTCACCATTGAGTCTTTGAAAAGCATCCTTTCTTTTTTGTAAGGAAATTAAAAAAAAAAACCTCATCTAATTGGCTTACCTAATATTTAATTAACTTATATATAATTATAGCAACAAGCGTAACAGGCATCCATAGGTCTGGAGGCAGCAGCTGGCTGCTGGTGAGCTCACGATTCAACTGGGAGAAGGCAGGAGAAGCAGGGGGCCTGAGGGCTGGGCTTGCTGAGCTGGTTCCCTTGGAGGCACCGAGAGAGGCGGGGAGCTCAGTCCCACAGTTTAGGAAGGGTGGATTACAGGTTTCCACTACTCTACTCATTCTCCTTGTACTGATGGTGGGACTGAGGCTTGGGAGAGTGAAAATAAGAATCCAAGGGCATGAACGAAGAGCCCGGGTCTGAGTCACGGCTCCCAAAGGGAAGAGCTGTGTGATTGTTGTTACCACAGAGTCCACACTGTTCTGTCCTCGTGGCTTCTGGGGATTCTGGAGCATGGTGTCCACCTCTGCCCCAGCTGGCACAGATTCAGACTCCAGGAGGAGCTGCCAACATACTCTTGTATTTTCTTTCCCTGTTACTGGGGATTGAACCCAAGGACCTCATGCATGTCAGCAAGTGCTCAGCTACTGAGCTACATCCTCAGTCCTTTTTTTTAATTTTAATTTTAATTTTTGGGTACTGGGGATTGAACTCAGGACCTTGCGCTTGGGAGGCAGGAGGCAGAACCACTGAGCTAAATCCCCAGCCCTCCTTTTTATTTTTTAATTTTGTTTTCCTGCACCTGAGATCAAACTCAGGAGCTTGCATTTGCGAAGCAGGCATGGTGCCACTGAGCTAGATCCCTGATGCTTATTTTTTATTTTGAGATAGGGTCTTGCTAAATTGCCCAGGCTGGCTTTGAGTCTGATCTCCTGTCTCAATCCCCAGGTCTCTGGGAGTCCGGGTGTGTGCCACCCACCCAGCTCTGACCTGCTCTTATTTGTTCCTCCCTAGGCATGGTATTAGTTATGTCTAAATCCACCTTCCCTTCCCTAGAACCAGCCTTTTAGAGCATGACATCATCCTTGCCCTGTCCTTTCTGCTGAACGATCCCCACTCAGCCTGCCGGGAGAACCTGCACCAAGTGTACAAGCAACTGGCCCAGCTGCCTTCAGGTAGGCTCACATCTCTCTCACAGATCCTGTGGGCCTTCGGGTTACCTTGGGCCTCTCCTCCAGGTACGTACATGCCAGGCTGCAGATCACAGTCCATTGTGCAATTTTTAAAATGTTACCTTTTAGCGGGTCATGGCCGTACACCACTACAGTCCTTGCTACTGGGGAGGCTGAGGCAGGAAAGTCATTTGAGCCCAGGAATTTGAGACCCATCTGGACAACGTATGAGACTGTCTTAGCGACAACAGGAACAATGACTACAAAAGTTACCTTTTTATTAAATTATGCATATTTTAAAAAACATATACAGGGACTGGGAGTGTAGTTAAGTGGTAGAGTACATGCTTAGCATGCACAAGGCCCTGGGTTTATCCCCAGTACCCATCCCCTCACTAAAAGACCCCACTAATAAATGACCATTTGATTACATTGTACTAAGTGAGGATTCCAGGTAACAACCATGCAGGTCAAGAAATATCCCATATCAGCACCCGATACTCCTCCAAGGACTCATATGGAGGTACTACCCCTCACCCCAAGGGAAGCTGCACCTTCAGTTTATAAGGCTAGAGCTTAGTTCATGCCTCGTTTTCCTCTTCAAGGTTCTGGGGATGTAACCTAGGACCTCACACGTGCTAATCATGCACTCTCCTGCTGAGCTACACCCAAGGCCACTTCACATCTTTCTAAACTTTACAGAAATGGAAATGTGTAATCTATAATATCTTGCTTTTAGCTTCTGTCACTCAACATTTTGTTTCTTTTCTTTTCATTTTTGGTACCGGGGATCAAACTCGGGTCCTTGCGATTGTGAGGCAGGTGGAGGAACCACTGAGCTACATCCCCGGCCCCACATTTTGTTTCTGAGATTCATGTGTGTTGTATGTTACTGATTTTTTCCAGGATGTGGTATTTGCATTATGTGAGTACCGTATACTGCAGTTTATCCAATCTTCTTCTGAGAGACATATGAATTATTTTATTTATAGCTACCAAGAACACAGTGGCTATAAAAATAGTTATAAATGTCTTTTGATGGACATGTGCACATTTATTTTGAGGTATACCTAGGAATAGAATGGCTGGAATAGTATGAGTTTGTGTCTGGCTTTATACCAAGTACTACCAAGTGATTTTCTAAGAGTTGCACCAAACAATAAAATATGAGAGTTACAAGTGCTCCATATTCTCACCAAATTTCATCTTTTCTGACTTTTTATTTTAGCTATATTGGCGGGTGTGCAGCAGTACCTCATTTTGATTTTAATTTGCATTTTCCTGGTGATCCAAAGGGAGGCCCTTCATTGTTTATTTTTTAGGAATTAAGAAGCAAAGGCCATGCTGCACACACTTTCACCAGGGCCACCCCACCCTTCACCTGTGGTCTTTTCCATCTGACAGCTCCTGCTTGTAGGGAGTCTGGGGTATCAACTCTCTGCCAGCCACAGCTAGAGGGTTGATGCTTGTGTCAGGTAACCATCCAAATGGTTGCAGGTTTGCAGTGAACATTTTTAAACAAGATGCTCCTTGCTGGCCATGGTGGTGCATGCCTATAATCCCAGCACTCAGGAGGCTGAGGCAGGAGGG